AACATTTTTTATAGGTCGGAACGGCAATCTTCAATTTATGTCTGGCAGTATTTTGATCAAATGTTGAAAAATGCCTTGGATGAAAATATTTGCATAATTTGCTTAGGTGATCTGAATAAAAACTGTATGTCAGATCTAACTCATTTCTTAATATAGCATCCGAGTGTATACCTACAAGGGAAGTAACTAAAGGATGTGACGACAAAGTTTGGTATGATTCGAATTTGCGGCGTGAAACGAGAAAACGCGACAGGCTTCCTAAATGTTTTATTCGTTCGAATAGTACATCCGCAGAAAAGAAATATAAACAACAAAGAAACAAAGTAAATAACTTGAAAAAGCAAGTTAAAAAACAATTTTGTACCAGTATTAATGAAAATTTAGATGAACTAAAAGTTACAAACTGTAAACAGTACTGGAAAACTGTTAACATGTTAATTACAAGCGATACATGATTAACCTTCCATGACGGACCCTGATCATAACTTTAAACTTGCGTACGAGGGAACCGAAAAGTCCGACATTTAAATAAATATTTTTGTTCAATATTTAATTAAGATGGAGCTATTAAAGATTTGCCGGAATTTGGAGACCGATGTCTTGAGTTTCTTTCACAAATTGTAGTTAGTGAACAAGATGTATTTGATGTTCTTTCAATGCTCGATGTTAATAAAGCTGTTGGACTAGATATCGTTAGCAACAGAAAGTTACTTGCTGTCAAAAATGTCAGAAATTTCCAAACCATTATGTCTACTTTTTAACAAATCTTTAAATGATAGAATATTTCCAGACCAATGGAACATTGCACATGTTATACCCTTATTCAAAAGTGGTGACAAGTCATTACCTTCTAACTACAGGCCCGTCTCCTTATTGTCATGTGTGAGTAAAGTGTTAGAAAAAATTGTTTTCAAACATATTTTTAACCATTTACATAAAATAAACTATTATACAAGTATCAATCCGGATTTATTCCAGGATACTCAACTTCGCATCAGTTGATAGAATTGTATAACAAAATTTGGAGTGCATTAAATGAAAAGCTTTTAACAAGCATCACATTTGCTGATATAAGCAAAGCATTTGAAACTGTCTGGATTAAGGCTTTATTACACAAACTTGAAAAATATGGTATAAAAGGAGACTTGCTATGTTGGGTGAAAAGTTACTTGTCTAGACGATCTCAGAGAGTTGTCATAAAAGATTCCTTGTCAAATATTGGAAAACTAAACGCTGATGTGCCTCAGGGGTCGGTATTAGGATCCTTGTTGTTTTTAATATACATTAATGATATAGCTGATAGTATATCTGGATTCGGAAGGCTTTTTGCCGATGATACTTCAATAGGTCATACTGCACCAGATGAATTCACTTTAAAAATATCAATCAGTAGAGATCTTGATTATTTAAGTAAGTGGTCAGAAAAATGGCTAGTGAAGTTTAATCCTAATAAAACTGAAATTATGATATTCAGTTTGAAAAATATATACAGTGATATTACTTTTGATTTTGGTGGTGCTACATTAAAACCAGTTAGTGCGCACAAACATCTAGGTGTCATATTTAGTAATGATTGTAAATGGAATATGCATGTTGATAAACTGATTGAGAAAACCACGAAGCAGCTAAATGTTTTACGCAAACTAAAATTTCTATTAAAAAGGGAATATTTGGAAAACATTTATATGATTTGTATTCGTACGATACTTGAGTATTCATCAGAAGTTTGGGATAAATGTGGGAAAATAAATTCTGATCGGATAGAAAATATTCAAATCGAGGCTGCTCGCATAGTTACTGGATTACCAAGTTATGCTAGCCGCAACGCTATTTATATCTTCATGCTAAAATAATAATTGGTTAAAGTCAGATATATGTAGTGTTCATTCATGTGTATATTTATGTATGTATTGGAGAACACGTTACTAAGTTGAAAAAACTTGTGTCTAATCCATTTGTCTTTTTTGAACAATAAAATATGTTTAAACTAACATCTCGAATTTTAAGAAATATTTTCTGACTGGTTTTGAATGAATAAAAATTTAAGGATAATTTTGCAAACGTGCACTTTTTGAAGAATTTTCATTCAATTATTTTGTATTTCAATTAGAATCCGAGAGCTGAAATACATTGTACGCAAACTCTTGCAAAATAGATCACCCATTTCTGTCTCTGGATCTTCAAAGTTAATAATTAATGGACGACAGATATTAAGATTTGAGAAAGGCTGAAATTGGTCCCTGTATAAGGTTACGAGAGCAATACATCCTACGTTTTAAAAATCTACAATATCACTTAAAATTTTTAAGCGGAGGATACTTTTTTATTTCAAAACATACTCACAAATAAGGTATCACCATCCCAGTAGTTAGCACTTCTATGTTAACATGAATTATCATTGTTAAGGTTTTAATTAAAAAGTTAACTGTTTACAACAATTTGAATTTGTCATTATACTACGGATCTTTTACCAGAGGAAGAAATAATCTTAGCTGAATTAGGCAAAACTTTTTGGATTTAAGGGTCCCCAATGCTCTCCAACTTCGTACTTTATTTAGTCTGTTTAACTTTTTGTATTGAAGCGTCACTGATGAGTCTTTGTAGACGAAACACGCGTCTGGCGTGAACAATTTTAAGCCTGGTATCTATAATGAAATTATTTACAACTTGGTCGATGGCACTGCTGGTGGAGGTTTCCTCCCCGAGGGTATCAACAATCCAGTATTCAGCACTTCAGCGTTGACATGAATTATCATTGATATGGTCATAATTATAAATTAACTTTTTACAAAACTTTAAATTTGTCGAAATACCAAGGATTTTCTATCCCAGGAATAGATTACCTAGTAATCTGTGTATGGGAAAACTTTTCGGAATTAAGGGTCCTCAATGCTCTTCAACTTCGAAATTTATTTGGCCTTTTTTTACTTTTTTGATTAGAGCGTCACTGTTAAGTCTTTTGTAGAGGAAACGCCCGTCTGGCCTGCAAAATTTTAAATTTGGTATATATAATAAGTTTATAATTCCATATGACAAACAAGTGAAAATCTGGCACTGCGAAATATGCTCCCCAAACTGCAAATTTATTGAGAGAAACATTATTTTCACGGTTTCAAAATACTAGTATACTTTGAGAGACAAATAAACATGTACCTGCATGAATATTGTTACTATTCATAGTGTGATAACATCCCAAAATCAACTTTTATTTTATTTCAGTAACATTGACCTTGATTTTTGAAATGTGTTGACCCCAAAATCAATAGTCTGCTATCCATTCTATATAGCTTCTATCTATATTAGTTTAATTCCATTCATGCAAGAGAAAAGCAAACTTTCATCAGGAATTCTTATTCCAAATTTTTCTATATTGGGTAAAAACGACCTTCATCTTTGACCTGTTGATAAAAAAATAATAATAAATATATTTCTTTCCATTTCCCATATTTTCCATCTGTATTAGTTTCATACCAATCAAACTCCAAGTGAAACTCAAGTAACCATTCGAAAACAGTTTTTAATAACTTGTGACCTATTGACCTCAAAAGCAATAGGCTTCTTTTTCGTTCCTATATCTTCTATCAGTATAAGTTTCATTTAAATCAAGCAAATGATACTCAAGCCACAAAACTGTGTTTCTGACAATCGGACGGAAGGGGCAAACGGACGACAAAGTGTTTATTATATGCTACCGAATTTTTATAAGGGAGCATAATGACCTTTTTATTTTCTAAGAAGATTTCATACAAAGAAGAAAAGAATCTATTAGTTCACTGTCAGATAAAAAGATTGTGATCTAGTTCAATAACTAGAACTGGGTCAACACCACTTCTGCTCGAATGTTAGTCTCCTATGGCTTCATCAGCTTTGGTACTGAAATGATTTATAACATTCTGTTTCCTCTTAAACTATCCGTTGATAAATAAAGTAATTACTGAAAAACTAAGTTTCAAATTGCCTCACACATTTTTGACCTTATCCGAATTTAGCCATCTTTTTATGTACCTTTTGGTCGTAAAGCTCATAAAGCTTCTTAGTATTTATACGTCCCTGGCTTTAAAATACCTGGGTTTGAGCGTACCTGATGAAGGTAAATCAATAAAGCGTTTCGGAAGCATGAAATGTATAAAGTGTTATTTTCAGGATTAAGTCATCAGTATGAATTCTTGTGAATAGACAACGTAAAACAAAACAAATGTAAGATATTGAATCCATTATTGTAAAATGGGGATATTTATTTCTACATCATGACATACCCAAGGGAAAAATCTAAACAGTAATAAAAACAATTTGATATGCCTGTCCGGGTACCTAATAAAAAACGAGAATAAGAAAAAATCATTACTTATCCTCAATATCAACAAACAGCCAAACACAAACTTATATCATGAGACATATAAACCTGTTATTTACGTTTGACGTTAAATATAAGTACAGTAGAATACCATGTAAAGTAAACATAGGAAATAAGCGAACAAACAAAAACATTATATTATTTTTATTTTGTACAAACGGTACAAAGCACTTCAGTACCATCTTTGTATGGGGGACATCTCAAACTACCACATTTCGCTCTAATAGGATAAAACAAAGCACCAATGTCGTTGGATGATCGATCGTCCAATGGTTTTGCGTCTCCGTCCATACAGATAAAGTCTTTATTGTTATGATTATTATGCTCACTCATCAAAAAACCACTGTACTCGGATTGCCATCCCTTGTAACAGGTCTTCTTTCCTAAATTAAAAAATAAATTAAAATATAAATATATCCAATTTCTATATTAGAACACATTTATACTTTAGACTTCGAATTAATGATTACAATAATACAGAACAAAGCATTATTTAAACCCGTTGCATTCAAGATTATTACATAATGAACCCTATAATCAACAATATCATGTGACGATCTAGGTTAATAATGTATCAATTATTTAAGAACATATTTATTATACTTTTTTAAATAATGGTACAAACAAATGTTAATAATGCAACTACCTGGTATCATTAAAACAGAAACTTTCCCTTTCCGCCTGCATACAGCACACGGGACCTCTTTTTCGGCCAAACTAGCAGGTAAACCAGATGGTTTAATGTTTGAACGTAATTCATACTCGGCACCATATAATCCATCATTAGCATAGGAGTATGCTTTACCATTTTCTGGATCACTTGGTAAACAGAGGTAGTTGGAGCCTCCTCCTTTGTTAGAGTGTTTGTTACCTCCAGCCTGACCTGCATAAGTTCAATGTACTCTTATTATAAATTTAATTATTCAGATTATCTATTTGTAGGTAACAATGACAAATATAACGCAAACCAATGTATTAAAATTTTAGGTAATGACATACCAGGAGTCGAGACAATACAATCGAATTTGAATCTGTATTGCAGATTGTACCAAATATTAAAAACTATGATGTGTTCATTGCACCGTGAGAAAAAGAAAATGATTAATTAAATAATGTTTTTAAATATCAACCATTTAACATTACAGTTTGAACGCCTAAATAATAAGATAAATAACATACATAGTCAAATTATATAAAAGATTAAGTACCAACATAGTCAAATTATATTTAATGTTTGAGCATTGATATAGTTAGATTATAGTAATTTTTCTATGCATTAAAAGCAACAAAAAGAGGCGGAGGATACAAAATGGACAATCAAAATTTGTAAGTTAATGAAAATCCGACAAAACCATAGGAACAAATACAAATCTACAAACAGACAACAGTGTATTAAACATTACCTAGAAACTAGATACTGAGCAACAAGAACCTCGCAAAAAATTTGAGTGATGTTATGTGCCCCGGAAGGATAAGCAAATCCTGCTACATATGTGGCTTCCGTTATGTTGCTCATGGTAAGTTCTTATTCGGTTATAAGTCTAATTCGGTGATGTAACAATAGAGTAACTAAAAGATGAAGGGATTGTGAACATATCCGTGGTTCGTTATCGTTAATATAATATATCAAATTAACGAATTCGTTAAAGGAATCCAAACTTTATCTTTATTAGAATTTTTAGTCAAGACCATAAAATCTGAGACATAAAATTATGAACGTGTATATAAATATTCTACTTTCCATGTGTCTCAGAATATGGCAGTTGTATTTATATATAATATGTGTGTTTGTGTCGTTTGCATAAAACACTCAAATATTAATTGATTCAAAGTATTAATTTCGCATTCACCTCAAAATGAAACCGTGTTGTTTGATTTTAATACATTAACCGTTAAGTTTGGCCTAACAAACCGTTTATGTAATTTCTAGCCAAATTGCATGTCATTAGAGTAGTGTTTTGTAGGCTTATTACTTAAGCATTAGAGTTGCAAAAGTTTTATTTTTAAACGTATCTCTTTCTATAACTTCTAGCTTATCCGGATCCTCGTCATGAAATATCATTAGATTCAACTAAAACCAGAAACAAACTGTCATAAAACTTTTTTCTTTCAAAGAATACCAGGCCTACTCTAGGTGAATTAGATTATTTGTGTTATGAATTATATGAAAGTTGATGTATTTGTGAATGAGACAGCAACCTAATATGATAAAAAATGACAAGATTATTAATATATCTAAAATCTATATGAATATATATATATATAGGTAAAGACGTCAATTCACAGGCATAGAATTATATACTTATAAGAGACACAAAAAAAACAATAGTAAGCGAGTTAAAATGTCTTTTAGTGTCCAGCACTTTCATCCATCTGTAGAAACTCTAAGACTCTAATTTGCTTAAATGATAATAATACTAAATACCTGCATACACAATATCTGAATTTCCAGGACATATTTTCTTTCCCCATCTGACATATGTCACACCAATATCTTAAATATACACATCAAAGAGTTAATTTATAGTATGAAACCGGAATAAAGTTGAATTACAAGACAGGAGTATCCATTATGCTGCTGAAAATACCAGACGCCTTACCTTTAACGTGTTTGTAATGGGTTAGCGTTAACAATTATGACTTAACGCATATACATTTTAGTGTGGATTTAAATAACAACTAAAATATTCATTGTCATTGATAAAATAAAAGTTTTTTTGCATAAAATTCAATAGAAATAATAGTTTAAACATATTTTATTGTTCAAAATGACAAATGGATCAGACACAAGTTTTACAACTAAGTAACGTCTTCTCCAAGCATAGCAGGAGACGCTTACCTTGTAGACGCATCCGGTCTCTTTCCCTTTGGAGCATGCGAAGTTTTTGTTTCTTATCTTAATTTGTTTCTTCTTAATTCATGATGAGATTTGAACATTGGTTAACTACTATCGCATTAAATTACAAATAGATTGTCAATTCATGCGATCACAAAGGCAAATTGGATGCTGTATTTGTACTGAGAAGAAAGACATACCTTGTTGTGAAGGTGTTACAGGACAGTCCGCTTTCCGGGAAGTATGCAAGTAATGCTTCATCATATCAATAAGAGACTGATCTGATGGTGTCAGGCTGTATTTTGTACAATCATGTCCATAAACACTGACTACAAATGCAACAATGACGATGGCAATTTGAAAGCTGAATGAGGGCATTCTGAAAATCGAGTACTAATAATTATTTGATAGAATACAATATAACAAATCAAAATAACAACACTATGAACAAAATAACATAAGTACATACTATTTTTACCTTTATGACTTCCAGGAATTCGTATATGTGTTAATGCAATTACGTCTTTATAGCTTTTATCATGGATTGATCAATTTTTTTTTAATTTGGAAATATCGTGTAGAAATACATACGATAGCGTAACAATATATTTTGACATTTCAAATGAAATTGAATTTCATTATTTTTTATTGAATTAAAAGAAACTCTGTATAATTTTTTTTTAAATATTAAACAAACAACTTTGTAATGTATGTTATTGCTTCGTGTACAGTGTTTTTCATCTTTTGCCTGGTATTTTCATCGTAGAACCTACACATTCTAGTATTTGTGAAATGGCATTGCATATTAGTGATACAGAATATATACATTGTAACTATACAATGTATTGCTTATTGGAAAATCCTGTACTGTAACCTATAGCTGCATCCTTGTCGTGTGGTCTCTGATGGATAGTCGTCTCATCATTGCTTATCATACCACATCTCCAAATTTTGATAAAGATAATAAATTTAAGCAAAGAATCCTGAACTATACAACCCGCTCATCAACATTAAATCCAGCTCAAAAGGAAAATTAAAATAGAATTTAAATATTTATATTTATCTGTTACGATGAACCTTACGTATCTATTCTCTTATTTTTGAGGATTGTTTGACAATTGCATGCAGTTTTAGAACGAAAGAAAAACGTTCGTTAAATACTCAAACGGATGCCGATTTTCACAAATATGAAATTGAATATATCGAAAGGTAGTCAGATAGTTATTTCATTTGTAGTCCGACAATTTCAGGCATTTTTCTGTAAGGGCTAGAACTACAACACAGTGTTCTATTACCATTTAATGTTGGCCTCGTTGCTTTGTTACAACCAAAAATATCCTTAAGTTATCTATCTATTCTAATACTAGACATACACAAAACTATTTCGACATCAATGAATGCATAAATCGATCAACTTTGAAGCCATTTACTCAAAAAACAAGGATGGTGACATATGAGTTTCTATACGTGCATGGATTCAGTATACAAAAGTTGACCCCCATTTTTTATTACATATTCCGATGTAACTCGATTGAAAGGATAAGTGTGCCAAAAAGTTTAGAAATCGGGAGGTATGCCATTCGGCATCGTGTTACCTTAAAACAAAGTCGGCTTCAATAGAATAAATTTATGTAATGCTATGGGTATTTTCTTTCAGCAAAATGCAAATGATATTACGATCAAAATCTATTAATTTAATGAATTTAATATAATTCAAACTTCATGGTTTTAGTATAAAAAAATAAGCAGACAATTTAATATAACGGGGGAAACACCTTACTGGTAAATGTCTATTTTTACAGTATCGCTAATTATTACAACTGTAAAATAACTGTCAACTTGTCAGTCCCTTTGTTGCTTATTGCAACATATTGTATTCAGAAATACTGAGAACCAATTAATATTGTATTCCGAAAAAATTAAATAATATACCGAGAAACAAATAACACAGAAAATTACATTAAAGTGAAAAATAACTAATAATTATACTAATAGTAGATGGACAAAACTAGGGAAATATCACAGGAAAAAACAAAATGAAACCCTAAATCAAGAGAAGCAATAGGAAAAGAGAAACGCCCTGAAATACAAGATTAATAATTATATTGTCCTTCGTCGTAAGACAAGATCATATCTGTACTGAAAGGTCATTATTTTTTATGCTATTTATGTTTAAAACTCTTGATGATTGACAGCTAGGCCAAAAACGAGGCTTACAAATTTCTAAAATGTCGGACATTTATATGGTTAAACGGGATGGTGGAAATAGGATTTTGTTACTCACTCAACTTAGTATATACATAGATGATGACAATATACAATGCTTATTAAACACTTCATAATATTGATTTGTCGAAGCCACAATCCTGTCCATCTTTCTGCGTATATGATTTACATCTGAATGTTATTATGAACTGCTTATATACTTCCAAGAGCCCCTGTACAAAGAAGTTTGCATTGCTTAACATATAGTCTTCTGGGTAGTATTTTGCGAGCTATTGTTTTTTTCTTACGACACTTTTCTTCCGGCCCATGGTACACTCGTACTCTATTTTTCTTCGACGTATGGTTTTTTTTTGTTCCCTTGTTATCATCTTGTTTTTGTTTTGTTATAAATTGGAATTTTGTGGTGTTGTTAAAGAGCTTCAAAGCTATTTATGTTGACTAAACTTCAAAGAAGTGTTGGCAATCAATACTTTTTGTGTGTGGCTGAGTTGCTGTCTCTTTGACATATTTCCAATATCTCTTTGTATTTACATTAACAAATTAGATATATTATATAAAGATATCAATTGATTGTTTTATTTCTACTAAATGTCCAGTGGCAAATATTTCATATTTAGGACGAAAACAAATTCAACAATTAGCGATTACGTAGGTTCTGTCAAGTGGGTCGTTTTGGGTTAAAGCCACTGAAATTTGCTTCTTCAAAACATGGTATTTTACATCTGGGTGAAATGTTTACTTTCAGCATAGGTTACCTAGACACTTCAAAGAGTTGCAATGATAATATTACGTGCAAATATCGCAGTACACTCAAACCACGAGGTATCGGATTCAATGTCCTAGTTCCGAGCTCACTCATCCAAATAGACACTCCCTCCGATCGGGTCTAGCTGCCAATCGAGAGATCTGCACGTGAATAGAATTCAATACCCAGTCAAAGATTGAGTTTAAAAATAATGCTATATTGAAACTATAATAGTTGAGACAATCCCTGAATCATTTGGGTACCTCAAAAAAAAATTATGAAGGACAATCTTTTAGTAACAGTTTTATTTAGAATTATGAAATGTATTGGAGGATAAACACAAAAATAAACATAGGTGTACAGCAGAAACCACTAGCATGGCTGACACGTTGTAGATATAATTTAGATTTCGCCACAAAACGCCAAAAAAACATTTAACCTTTGTACAGCATGCCCAGTTGAACTTCAGAATATCAGTACGCTTCTAAAAAATCAGACTGTTTGTTATCTATTTTTCATTGTTTAACATTTTGTCATCCCGGGGACTTGTATAGCTTCATCAATTTACGGTATGGGTAAACAAAGTGTTGATAGATACCAGGATATTTTTTTTTATGTCGGACGAGCGTTTCGTCTTCAAAAGACTCATCAGTGACGCTGGAATAAAAAAAAGGTTAAAAAAAGGCCAAATAAAGTAAAAAGTTGAAGAGCATTGAGGATTCAAAATTCCGAAAGGTTTTGCCAAAGGTAATCTATTCCTGGAGTAGAAAATGGCTGTTTATCCTTTGTTGAAGGCCGTATGTTGACCTGTAGTTAATTTCATTAGTTTGGTCTACGGTGGATGGTTGTCCCATTTCCAATCATATCTTATATATCTTCTTATTCTATATTGTGTACCACCTACATGTATACTATATTTAAATGTAAAATGTTTTGTAGATATGTGTCTCATAAGCCAATCTTATGGCTGGGTACTGATTGTTTAATGTATATTTTTATTATGTCATTGTTTAATGTTCAATCAGTATGTGACACAATAATAAAATAAAATGTATTTATTTTATACGTTTAGATGACTTTCGAATCTTGAAGTACTAAAGTCTATATATGATACCTAATTGGAATACACCAGAAATATTTGTTATGTGTAATACCCAAGATATCATTACAGAAAATAGGATATGTACTTCTTTGTGGTGTGATTTTTTCTGACAGTACTGCAATATAATGCATTATCGTAAAACCTCTTATCAAGATATTGAACTACTACGGTATAACCAATAGTGCTGAAAGTGACGTTTAACACCAACAATCAGTAAAGAGAATATTTTTTAATAATATGAATATTTTATAAATTTCTAATTGTTCAAAGTTTAATGAGAATCATAGTTACTGTGATATTGTAAATCGGAACTTATTTAAAGTTCTTATACATCCTTGGCTTTCAAATATCCGGCTTAGACAGTTTCTGATGAAGGTAAATCCACGTACGCATTATAATGTTTATTTTTACAAAACTTGTGTTAAGGTTTTTTACGTAGGATATTATTAAGATTGAAGTCACGTCGCTCCGCCTTTTATAGTATATATTATGCATACATTTAATAATTCTAATGAATTATCAATGTAATAGTGACGTGTTTTATAGTTTTGTATAATTTGTGCTTTGTTAGTTTCCTTACATGGTTTGATTATAATTACATTGGATATATAAATACAATGAGTTGTGGTTCTACATGTATAAAGGAGACTGGTAGGTACAATAATTTATATATATATTTCTGTAAAGGGAGACAAATAACCAACAACACGGGGTTAATGACAAATTGTTTTACCTTAATTCAATTAATTGATAAAATTATTAACATTGGAATTGGCACGACACTTGAGTCCGAGGTAAACCATTATTTAAGGAAAGGGCAATGGTATCTAGCTGATTAGCATCATTGTTTGCTGCTGTTTTACCGCGATCCTCTCCCACCCCACTTCCCCACTTTGACATGTTAGACACGAACTAATTTTTATAAATTGATTGATTTTTGTATGCTGAACCACCAATGACAAATTTGTTTGAAAAAGTTTCCAGCGATGTAAAGGGTGAATAATGGAACCAGAAAAAAGTTGGGGGTAAATTGAAAAAAAAGGCGATACAAAAGGGCTTGATTTTTAAAATAAACCTTTGACCAAGCAAACTTATGTTGTTCAGACAACTCTTTTTATTCTTTCTGTTAGTTTATACTTTTTCTCGAATTACGTAGAACCACGAGTCTTGACCTTGTCTCGACCTTGTATTAATTAGGCTAAGTCTTATCTTATTCATTCTCTTAATACCAATTTGGCTTTTGAAATAATATCATGAAACTTATCAATTAAAGCTAAAGTAAAAAAATTAAAAAAAAATTACTATTAGTTAATTGTTGAATCTAAATATTATCAAATTCCAGTATGCCTGACTTGGGGCTGCTAATTCCATATTATAAATGCACAGTTTAAATTATACATTGCTATTTTTTAATAAAGCAGGTTCTTATATATATATTATATTCAATTCAAAACAGTTTATTGTACGGTTTTACTATATTGACCGTAAACAAATTATTAAGAGATTATGATTTAAATTCCATTAGCTATGACCAACTATAAAATAAGTAATTTTTTAAAAGATTAAATTTTAATTTTAAAATTAATTTTGCATTGGCATTTAAATTTCACACTGTTTATGATACACGTGATCTCTAAATATGTACAACGATTAATAAAATTGTCACTTTCACCGTTACACAAAATCATGGCATGCATTTCAAAATGCTAATTTCCTAAAAAAAAAATTAAAAAAATTAAATAATTTTGCAAAGTCGGCTGGCCAATTATTCAATGTCATAAAACTTTTAAAATGCGTTTACATAATAAACTTGGTAAGAAAAAGTTTTATGAAGAGAAGAAAAATTTAAGTTTACGTCAATGAGACAGCAACCCAACGACACACAAAAAAAAACCCAAAGAAGTGACTTTTTATTATAGCAGGGCTAGGGAAATTATTTAATTGGTTAACATCTTTACTAAACAATATTTCATAAATATAGAGATGTATTGAGGAAGTCTCATTATATTTGTCGCATTTAAGTAAACAATTTTTTTTAAAAAGTAATGTTTCACACTCAGATTTGCGGTAATATGATTTATTCAGCGAATAGGTTTAGAAATTGTCCTTTAAATCTTTCGTTTTGGCTTAATAGACTTATTGATAAGGTCATACTTATAATGTTGTATCATCATTCTGTCTAGTATTTCGGGGTGGTCCAATAAAGAACAAAGTACAAAGATGTGAACATTTGCAGGTCACCGCACGGACTCAACAATGAGTTGACCCAAATCGTATAGTAACCAATTACAAACCAAGGGTTGACAAATTGTGAAGCATTCAAAAAGAAAGAAAAAACAACGAAAACAATTATGAAAGACAGCAATCAACGACAACCAATGAATAACATGCTCCTAGTTTGGGACAGGCACATGGAGAATGCGGCGGAGTTAAACATGTATGTGACCGCTAAATCCTCCCCTTTACTTGGGACAGTAGTGTAACAACACAACATAAGAACAAACAGTAAAAATCACTTGTTCTTGTGTTTTGGGGTAATTAAAAGATTGCATGAAGTGTAATTGAACCCTTATTTTGAGGGATGTAGTGTGGAAGAGGCTATGCTTGTTATCAATTTGACTCATTCATATGAAATTGATGGTAAAAAAGGGCATTTAAAGCATTACTTTCTGTCATTTTAATTATACATCTAAACAATACATATTATATAACTATCGGTATAGCAGTAAATGGTTTTTATCGGAGTATAAAATAGAAACGCATAAAATGTTCATACCGTTTTAAATAACATTTTACGATACCTATTACATCACTCCGATTAATTTAGAAATATTCTGTTTGTATAACAAAACAAAAGAAATCATTTACAGCACATAGTAAATTTAATGTCGTTAAAATGCCTTGTTAAATTCTAAGATTATTCTCCAAATGAACATAGGCCTCCCTTATCCGATAAAGGTGTCTTTTGGTATTGTTTGGCTTTGTTGCTCTTTTACACCACAAAAAAAAAGAAATGACTTTTAGTGCGCATGATCTTTTGTCATAGGTTCAGTTTCTTTTGTGTCAAAGACAATGCCAAAAAAAAAGAATAGGTTTTCCATTTATATAACTTTAATGAATAAAGAAGTATGAAGTATTTTGTTACATCAAATAAGCTTTGTTTCCACGGAAGCCTAAAGTGTAATTCTCCACCACAAACTAAATAAAACCACCGGTAGTAACGTGCTACATGTAGTGTGTTGGCTTGAATGCGGGAGGTTGTTGGCTCTATACCTCACCTTGTCAAACCAAAGACTTGCAAACTGGTATTTGCTGCTTCTCAAAGAGGAACGCGGAATTTATGAGTAATTGCAAACATTGGTTCGGCTCGGATCGATTCAGAATACTATGTCCGTGTGGGATGCTCATTTTCCTTCAGACTGTGCTATCTTTTGAACTAGCAAGTTTAAAATCTGATCGCTCCAGTACAAAAGCAGGGTTATGATTCATTTGACATGTTCTCATCCTGATATGGATGTAATACTTGTCATTGGACGTTAAAAACAAATATATCCATCATCACTAATTAAAACTGTTTAATGTACTTTATTAAACGTTTTAATAAATATGAGATCGGGACCGACGGGTCATCTCTTATCTACCCCAAATGTAATCCAGTGAGTCCAATTCACGAGTGCTATCACTACTCACCTTTACATAGTCAATATTATCGATCAATGAAAGAATGGAGTTTACAGTCTGCCATGAAAATACAGGCAAGAAAAACTTAATATTTTATCAATAATTGTTCCGCACTCGAACAGCAACGACAAGTTATGTTAAACTCTGCTTTAAAAATATGTAATAATTTCAAAAATCTTAAAACAGAAAACAGATTTATTTGGCTTCTTTCTTTTGAAAATGAAGAAAAATGCAACACTGTGGCTTTGATTTGTTATAAATGTTTTACAATAAGAAAACAACTGCAGCTATCAATGGTTAAATCCATAATACTATTACCATTATCATTATTGTTTCTTTACTTACATGTATGTCTATGTGGAATCATTATATGTAACATGCCCTGTATGGGCCGATTATTGATTTATTAAAGTATTCGTATTAAATGATTTTGTACCATTCTTTAAATGATTTTAAAAAGTTTCTGAACATGTTAACTTTATTGTGCTAGAAGATGTTAGTTCTAATATTTCTATTGTATTCTACATAATACTACTTAACTTCACTATGTTGAAGATTACAAGAAGGCATATGCTAAGGAAAATTAAAAGTTTTAACATATTAAATATAAATGCAATGAAATAGACGAATTTCATTTAAAAGAGATTTATAGTGAAGAAAATGTTATTATACCTCAATTGGTCAATCTCCGTATACGACAAATGGTGGATTATACGTGAATTGAGATGTAATCCATCAATTAATGGTTATCCTGACCCGTTATAGTCTGACATATATTGATACTACATATATTTGAAAACTGTGTAAGGAATTTGCTTTTGAAAAAAGTTAGATATTTTACGTTTATGAAGAAACGTCAAAACCTGATAAAACTTTAATTTTCTATAATGCTTTATTTTGATATCTTGATCGGGTTGGTGAAGATCCTCATAAATGGATATCATACCCCAAAACGGGTATCAATTTTCAGTGATAAAATATTAACTTTGGATTTCAAGATATTTGCTGTCATGGTGCAAACATTCAGGTAACATTTTTCCCAAAGACACCATGACTAAAATATTATCTGGATAAAAGTTGATAGACTTGACAAATAGGGTTTTGGATGCCATTATTTTTGTATTTAGTTCTCATTTGAACTATGGTTTTAAAGAGAATCAAAGTACTGAAGTACTGAACATCGGATGACCGCAAGTTCTTGTGGATGGTCAAAAGCACATGTCACAGAAAAAGATCAAATCTCTATACCTGAAACTGAGGTTAATGTACAGATATATTTTTTTTCTGAGACAAGTTCGTGCGTGGATGATGAATTAATGACAGGAAATTCAACCACACCGTAATAACTATTATATTGTAGTGATACAAATCAGTCTTCTTGGGACTATTATACTAATATAATAATAGTCCCAGAGTATGTATACACTGGTTTGTTGTTATATATTATATTAATATAACAGTTACATGTATATATAATTTTCATCCATTTGTATATCAATCTATTGTACTATTCTAATAATAGTGCAGTGCAAGTGCATGGTGGATACATGGTAAAAAATCCATTTTTCTAAAAGATTGGAAATGAGAAGCCATTCATATTTGCCCGCAAAAACAATTACAGAGTTACCGGTCCTTGAAGCGAGTGTCACAAAACGTTCTTGAGATATTCTTCCACAAGCTTTAACACAATTTTTCGATACGTGTGCATAGATATTATCAATTATTTTTTTACTATTATATATGTATATCTAACGACAAAACATTTTCATATTATTAATTTGTGTTTAAAACAAATATTTATAGGAGCATCCATTGAAAAAAATGAATTTAAAACAAGCGATAAGGAATTTCATTTTGCACTAGATAATGTCCGCGGATCTATATTTTTTATAGATCTGTTGAAAACCCAAAACTAATTTGCATAATGGAAATTTAGGCGATAGCAATACATCGGAATGACCTCAGGGTCATCTCGATGTAAAAATGTTGCCATTTATATGAATATTTGCGCCATGATAGCTATAATGAAATATAAAATTCATTTTTTATCACTGTAAATTGATACCTGATTTTGGTTATAATATCCGGAAATGGGGATGTTACCTGTTGATTCTGTTTTAGCTTGGCAAACATTTTGATATACAGATTTCCTTTTGACAAAATTTTAATTTTAAGGATATTAATATCTTGACAGATAGTCCGTGGACGCGCAAGGTTAATTGGTACATCTGTCCTTTAAAACGCGTTGAAGGGCATATTAAATTTAAAGGATACGATTTGCTAAAACTAAACCACAATTATCAATCAATTTATATTGAATTATCTGTCATATTCACTCAGTTGTTTTAATTTTATCACACAATTATGACTTACGAGCCGTTATAACATATTGTTTTTAATTAATTATTCTAAGACAGATACCTAAAAAGAGTGGTTTATTAGTTCACATTAAATTCTCAGTGTCAAAGTTGACCCCAACGACATGTGCGGTTTTTGTATCATAGAAATGTCTGTTTGGTTGTATAATTCTTAATGTTTATGCCATGTTATGATAGGGTTGGGACTCGTACATTTATTTATATCCAACCGTGAATTATTCAAATAAGCTTTTTTTTGCTACGTGTTGAAGGGCTCACTGCGTCTTTGAGATCAGGGACAGCAATAAAAGCGCTGTTTCTTTGCTTTTTGTGTTTTTTGTATTTGTTTGGTTTTTTTTTTTTGTTGTATATTTTTTGCTGTGCATGTACTGATTATGTGTCATGGATGGATACCCCATATCCTTTGTTTATCTATTATTTGAAAGAAAGTTCAATTATTAGAATCTAGTTTTAAACCAAAAATGAATACTTCACATTACTAATCTTCTTCCATAATATTTTGCATTTGTGTCATCAGAACCTAGATTTCACGAATGATAGACTTGTAGTAACGTCTTGTGTTTCATGTCTATTTCTTAGAGACGCTAGTTTAAACGAGGATCTTAGTAATATTTCCAACACCTATATTGTATAGTAAATTGAGGTTCAGCAATATTTCGGTTACTATAAAATTTTATTCGTGACGGATTTGGTTCAGGCCTATTTTTCAAAACTACTCGTTTCCTTACATCAGTTATATTTCACATCTACCTGATTTCTTGTATCGTACACGGAAAATTTAATTAATTATTTGCATAACTAGAGTGTGTGTAGTTAAGTGCAAAGAGGGCACTATTTACCTTTCAATACAGATCTACGTTACAGCATCAATATCTTAAGGCCATGTGAGTCGATTTTGTTCTATCGATAATTCCAATATTCCGTTTCCCCCCTAAAAAAAATACATGTATTGAAATATAGAAGTCATTACCAAAACGTGGCAACTTAGATCATAGACATCAGGGGGAAACAACTAACAAGTTGCAACAACTCACTAGTCCAGTTATCTCAGACAAATACAAATATTTCAAAACGTAGACAAAAAGACAGAAAACAACCTTATGGTAGCATCTGATGTGAAGAAATGGAAAATTCCTGTTTCCTATATGCATCATCCTTTGAGTTCACTGGCGAGTAATGGATATGTACTACTTGTACACACAATCCACTCTTTTCCTCGTTTGTGACATTATCAAGAAATATGACTGAATACCTGATTTTAAATTTATATGAGCAACACGACAATTGCCGCTATGGAAAGACGACTGCTAAACTCACGGAGGACCGGAATTCACTCGTGCTGCTCAATCTTTGGGTTTATGTGTAATATTTGTGAAATTCTATTTGGCTGTTCTTTTTTTCTTGTTGTCTCGCTTTCTTCGACTTGTGGTTTTTGATTGTTCCCTATGGTATCTTCCGTGTCTACGACAATCATCCTTTCGTGACCTTAAATTCTGACGATACTTTAAAGTGTTTATTATTTATTTCAGGTCCTGATACATGGTATAACAATTACCCAATTTTCTCTAGCGGAAAGAGACAGTCGCCTATAGATATAGGAACAGAATATGTCGACTACGATTCTTCATTGTCACCTATCAAGATTAATTACAAACCAGAAAAACTTTTACATATAGTAAATACAGGTTTATCTGTAAGGGCAGACATCAAAGAAACTTCAGGTAAACAATTATATATAATTCCTTTCAATTTAATATTTTATCAACGTCTCACCTTTTGTAGAATACCAAAATACATACATTAAACACAAAAGTTATATACTTTAAAACACAGAACCCACTTAATACAGTTTTATTGTCTGAGAAATCGCGGAAGCTGAGACTCACATATTCCTTTTCCAGTGACATCGTTGAAAATTACATATTCACATCTATTGCCGCAAATATACATGTTCACAATTACTTAATATCTACGCATATCTTCTTGTTTTCTGTTAGTTGGTCCATGACTATCCAAGTCCAACAGGTTCCCCCTTTTAATATTTTCGAAGTAACTTGATTGTTCGTTTACCAAAAAATGCATGGGTGAGGAGGTACAATTATTCCCAACTAGAGAAACATAAGTTGTTCTCTTTGGTAGATAATCCGTATTTTCCAAACAGTTTTCTTTTCTTTTTCTAGAGATCAGCGGCGGACCACTCGATGGAAAGTATAGACTCGAACAATTCCATTTCCACTGGGGATCAAATAGTAATAAAGGTTCAGAACACACCCTCAACGGTTACACATATGCTTCCGAGGTATGTGCACATGTACACTGTAAACTTGCAATAGAAAATAATACATTAAACTAACTTTACCCCATTTGGGTTATTCGTTTTTGTTATCTTAAGATTACATGCACACGTATATTTTTAACCTTGAACTCTGAGCGTTTATGATGAATGTATCAGACAAACACCAATTTTGGGAAATACGACTTTGATTGTATAAGAAACTATTCTTATGGAAATAAGAAGATGTGGTATATTTGCCAATGAGACAACTATCAACCAGATACCAAATGACAAACTTCCGTGTGAATTTCTTTTTGAAATAACATTCAAATACTCGTCCTGAACATGCATGAAATATTTGCCACTGGGCGTTAAGATACAAACAGTCAATCAATCAAATATTATCCTTTCATATTTCTGTTTGAAACGAGATTTTATTGATAATGAGGCCATTCAGAAGAACTAGGGAAAATCTTTGAAAAAATACGATTTTTTTTCTTTTAAGCTTCACTTGGTGCATTGGAATAAAAGTAAATATTCTAGCTTTGCTGAAGCCGCAGACAAGTCGGATGGTTTGGCGGTATTGGGATTCTTTATTAAGGTAAGCATAGTTCTATTTGCATAAACATGCGTATATGTAGCTATGTATTCTTCACCTCTAATATAGGAGATCGAGGATATTCCCATAAACTTGTAACCCACATAAAATCACATAACCGGTCTCGCTCCTTTCGGAGTTCATGTGATTCCCTCAGTTTGTGTTTGCTACCTTGATTTGTCTTCTTTATGAAATTTATAGTCTTGTTCTCACCTTACTTTATCCGGGTAACTTTGTAATCAATAATGCAACAGTTTTCAGTAATGTTTTCTGTCGGTTGGCACAGAATTTTAACAACATTTGATTATACATTTGGTGAACGGACTCTTTCATAAGAGCTATCGTCATGTAGCAAATTTCTTTGGTGACAACACGTCACTTCGTCACACAATATTTTGCCAAAATATGCTTTCATGGTATTTGAAAGTAAGATAGATAGCAAATGTTTGGTGAAAAATTATCCATTGTATATATGCAAAAAGTCAAAAATATGGAAGAAGACCAATTTGTGTCTTTCATTTTTGCTTTAATGTGCTCTGTCTATAAGCATTTTTGTGTTTCTATGTTACATATTTGTTTGTTTTTATAGTGATTAAGATTATAACACAATGTTGACCGCTGTACCCCTATTTTTGACATTTTTACCTATTATGTCTGTTTGTTTTGTTCACACATCGTTGTCAATATAATGGAATTTTATGCGACTTTCATACAAGTGAGAGGTTTAGCTAGCTATAAAACCAGGTTTAATCCACCATTTTCTACATAAGGAAATGCCTGTACCAAGTCAGGAATATGACAGTTGTTATCCATTCGTTTGATGTGTTTGAGCTTTTGGTTTTGCCATTTGATTACGGACTTTCCGTTTTGAATTTTCCTCGGAGTTCGGTATTTTTGTTATTTTACTTTTTACATATAATCCAAACACCAATATGGTAGGGATACGAGACTCAATCCGGTTATTTACATAACTTGCAATTTGTTCTACGACGTGTGAAAGAGTTTGTCAGTTTCTCGTAAATGTATAACTGTTTACCCTGGCATTCCGATTAACTCAATCAATTAAAAACAGTCTTTGATATTTATGAATATCTTCATAAAGTAAAGTTTTATCCTAAAAAATAAACAAGTAAATATTTAATGCAGTCACAGTACATGTACAATATGATTATATACACGTTTCAATATTATCTTGCGTAAAAACCAAGCGACGAAGATATATTATTGAATTTATCCCAAAGTACAACATAAACTACGTTATTAGTTAGCCTAAAGTTTGTTTTTAAACATTTCATTCTCATACATTAATTATTATGAAACTTTAATGTCTTAAAATGTCAAAATAATGAAATAGAAGAAAAGGAAAAATACATGTTCTTAACCGTTTATTAATGTGTCTACTAAATGAAATTTGTTTTTCTCGACTCATAGTAGCTAGTGCACATAACGTCATCTTTTACTGTTATTCCGTCCTTCCAAATCCCTCCCGGACGGAGAATTTTTAATTATGTCTGTACATATAGTGCTGTTTTTAGACATAGGGATTGCTTTTCCGGCGACGGCGTCAACAATTGTTAAGTTTTCTGCTTAAGTTTGTTGATAGGAACTACTTGTGATAGATCAATGATGTTTCGTATGAAGTTGCATTACTATCAGTACATATCAGTTTGACGACTATTTTGAGGCTCTGCCCCCTAGGTCATGGTCCAGTGACTTTCAATCAAGTAACAATTTTCAATGTTAATTTTTCTAATTAAGTTAGTTTGATATGAACTACTTACAATAGACAATATTTTCTATAAAGTTACATTAATAAAATTGAGAATGGAAATGGGGAATGTGTCAAAGAGAAAACAACCCGACCATAGAGCAGACAACAGCTGAAGGCCACCAATGGGTCTTCAATGCAGCGAAAAACTCCTGCACCCGGAGGCGTCCCTCAGCTGGCCCCTAAACAAATAAGCATACTAGTTCAGTGATAATGGACGTCATACTAAACTCCAAATTATACACAGGAAACTAAAATTAAAAATGATAAGAGACCATCTGTACATCTCAGTTTGTCGACCATTTTCAGGCTCTGTCGTCTAGATCATGTTCCAGCGACTTTGATTTGATAAGCAATGTTGCTGTCCATCAGATTGTGTTTTTCTGAATTTTATGCCGACAGGCGAGACATATCTCTGTGTCAACAGTTTATGGTATAAAGCTTCCATCTAGCATATGTCCGTTGTTCTTGACTGCCCATAAAAAAATTTGGTATGTTTGATAGGAACACAAATTTTGTCTGGTAACAGGCAATCTACGGACTCCTCAATGAGTTGTCGCAAAGTATATTAAAGCTACAGAAAAAGTGAATTCTCTCTTCACGCGGAATTGGATTCAACATCCCCATTGCGACCGGACGTGGCTGCGTATCTATGCATCCCGAAGAGCCAAACAGGCGCCTCTCTTCATTATAGGTTTACAATCGAATGGCCATATTCGGTTCGTGATCAAAAGGAACAATTTGTTTAATACTATAAGTAATAAGTAAACTATTGTATTAGATGTATTGCACGACTTTGAGGAGTAAAGTCCTGATCATCTGACCTTGACCTCTTTCTCGTGGTTCATTTTTCAACGTTATGTCATTATAATTTGGTCTGTTTCTCGGATTAGATATGGAATTGGTCAAATATATAAGGTTTATAGAATTATTGAAATGCATACATGTCTCTCTGACAGGGTTTATATCACATTGTCTTTATGAGTTGATGTCTCCTTGACGTACACCCACACCCTTTTAAATCATATTTCAATTTAAATAAGAAGTTATTATTCCCATTATAACAATAACTCTATTTATAAGTATCAAAAGTAAATATTTCGTTTAGAGAAGATAATTATAACATCAAAATCATGTGCGATTTAAACTCATGAATATATCTTTTATCTTTTAAAGAAAGTACTTGCTACATTTTCACTGATTCTAATAAAAGTATTTTTTTCTTTGCTAGGAAGGACAAGAACACAAGGAGTTAAGAAAACTGACAGATGGAATTCAACGGATCTTTGATAAGGATGCCCTTACAAAAATCCCGGATAAATTTGATCCGAAGCATATCCTACCATGTAATTATATTTTTTACTTTTTATTATGATATATTTTATATAAAATGGAGCTGTGTTTTGTCTGCCGTCCTTAAGATAAGGATTGCGATATAAAAAGCTTGTTTAATCCCGCCACATGTTCTATATCAAGAACCTGATCATTGGTTGTCTGACGTCATACTGTACGGATTTTATTCAATTTGTCTCGCCTGCTACGAAAGTATCAGAATAGGAGACACAGGGAAGCTAATTAGGAAGCAGGGGCGACGGGTGGCATTACTATTTGTATTTAGTATGAGTAATAGGATAACTTCATTTGGTATATTGGATCTTTGCAAGTTCTTCATGGATCAATTAAGGTTAGGTTTTCGTGGTTTCCCAGTTACTATAAGAAGAAGGTCAACTATATTTGATGTATGGAATGCTTGTTCGGTTTCTTCTCACCCTGACCTCATTTTCATTGTTCAGTGGCCAGTAACAAGATTTTGTGGTTTGATCTGTTTCACAGATACTGTAAGCAACAGGTCAATTATATTTGTTGTTATTCAAAGAATTTAATGATGGTTACGATATATTTTAAAGTTCCTTCACAACTGATTTCGACTCGGAATGATTTAGAGCTTGATTTATTGTATAGATATCATTCTGTCTATTTTTGAAAACTCTGTTGACCTCTTTTTTCTATTTTTTTTTTCTGTGTCGTTAGTTAGCTGTCTCATTCTAGTTAATGTATACCCCATATCTCTTTTTCTTCATAGCCATATCTATACTATTAAAATAACGAGGTCCAATTTATTAGCCGACATGACGTAAAAACGACGAATCAAAGAATTCAACTTTAAATATAACTAATATAGGACCATGGTGTTTTTTTAAAAAATTACACCATTCCATGCCTTTTGTTTTCCACATTATTAATATTACCAATAATTAACAAGTCCCGGGTCGAATCCGATACCGATACCAATAGTATATGTCACATGTAGTTTCCGGATGTAGTTACCTTCTGTAAATCCCTCCTCTATTAGGAGAACCTGGAATTCTTACAGTAGCTGTTTTATATCTATGTAATACCATAGTACACTATTTAGCAAGTCTTTTTTCTTCCACCTCAATACCCCCAAGGGTGACTGGGGAATAGAAGTATGGTCACCATTGGTCTTCCTCCGACCGGCAGTAAAACCCGTGCTAAAGTGGGGCGTCCGTTTGGCTGTGCGGGATGTACAAATTTGCAGCCACGTCCGGTCAGAATGGGGACGTTAAATCCGATGTCTCGTGTAAAGAAAGTGCCACGTTCTTTGCACGTTAAGAACCCTTGCAACAACTCTTTGAGGGGTCCGTAGGTGACCTGTTGCAAGGCTAAATTTCTGTCCCTATCCAATATACCCTCATTTCCCGTGGCAGTCTAAATTTCTCCGACCTGAATCCCTTAATCTATTACAGAACCTACCTATTGTATTTATTGTGAACTTGTTCTCGTCCTGAATATGCATGAAATATTTGCCACTGGACGTTAAGCAACCAACAATCAATCAATCAATCCACCTCAATACCACTGCTAATTTTGGCTAATTAGTTTAACAAATTGAAATTTAGCTTATAGTAAGATCATTATAGTAAGAAAACTGGACGGCTTCAAACATAAAAATTTTGAAAGCCGAGAAAACTGTGCACCTTACAATCATCATGACTTTATCAGCTGACAATACGAATACTAAAAATCCAGGCTAAAATAAGGCATAGGTACTTTGATTTAGTCACGAACCCGCAATGTCGCGGGTGTGTTCTAGTCGTTCTGTAAAGAAAGCTAGACAGGGGATACAAATAGAAATGATGTAATCGTTTTACTTTTTGCTGAAATGTTGTTATTTGCCTCTTTCAAAACTATAATAAAAACAAATATGTCACCAAGCATATGTTAAAGCTGCACATTGTATAGGAGTGTACTGGGAAAACACTTAAATATGTGTCCAGTGGGAAAAAGTGCGTACTGTTGTACGTTTGTTTTTTCTACATTGGCTAGAGGTATAGGGGGAGGGTTGAGATCTCAAAAAACATGTTTAACCCCGCCGCATTTTTGCGCCTGTCCCAAGTCAGGATCCTCTGGCCTTTGTTGGTCTTGTATCATTTTTAATTTAAGTTTCTTGTGTATAATTTGGAGTTTAGTATGACGTCCATTATCACTGAACTAGTATACATATTTGTTTAGGGACCAGCTGAAGGACGCCTCCGGGTGCGGGAGTTTCTCGCTGCATTAAAGACCCATTGGTGGCCTTCGGCTGTTGTCTGCTCTATGGTCGAGTTGTTGTCTCTTTGACACATTCCCCATTTCCATTCTCAATTTTATTCATAATGCAATTTGAAAAAAAAATCCGCGAAGACAATTCTTACTTTTTTAATTGGGATCACCTCAAGCAGCCCTTTACAACCAAATATATATATATATATATTAAATGTCTCTGCTGCGATATAGCAAAGTAATTATGCCCACAGTACGTTTTAGTTACAAAATAAAATAATTTAACTTGACTTACCTCCCTTTTTTGTCGAGCCTGCGACTTTTGTCGCAGAAAGCTCGACATAGGGATAGCGATCCGGCGGCGGCGGCGGCGGCGGCGGCGGCGGCGTTAGCTAACTTCTTAAAAGCTTTATATTTTAGAAGATGGAAGACCTGGATGCTTCATACTTTGTATATGGATGCCTCATGTTACGAAGTTTCCGTCAGTCACATGTTTAATGTCCTTGACCTCATTTTCATGGTTCAGTGACTACTTGAAAAAAAAGTTCAGATTTTTTGTAATGTTAAATTCTCTCTTATTATAAGTAATAGGATAACTATATTTGGTATGTGCGTACCTTGCAAGGTCCTCATGCCCGTCAGACAGTTTTCACTTGACCTCGACCTCATTTCATGGATCAGTGAACAAGGTTAAGTTTTCGTGGTCAAGTCCATATCTCAGATACTATAAGCAATAGGTCTAGTATATTCGGTGTATGGAAGGACTGTAAGGTGTACATGTCCAACTGGCAGGTGTCATCTGACCTTGACCTCATTTTCATGGTTCAGTGGTTATAGTTAAGTTTTTGTGTTTTGGTCTGTTTTTCTTATACTGTATGCAATAGGTCTACTATATTTGGTGTATGGAATGATTGTAAGGTGTACATGTCTAGCTGGCAGGTGTCATCTGACCTTGACCTCATTTTCATGGTTCAGTGGTCAAAGTTAAGTTTTTGAGTTTTGGTCTTTTTTTCTAATACTGCATGCAATAGGTCAGCTATATTTGGTGTATGGAATGATTGTAAGGTGTACATGTCTAGCTGGCAGGTGTCATCTTACCTTGACCTCATTTTCATGGTTCAGTGGTCAAAGTTAAGTTTTTGAGTTTTGGTCTTTTTTTCTAATACTATATGCAATAGTTCAACTATATTTGGTGTATGGAAATATTTTATGATCTATATGTCAGTCACGCAGGTTTTATTTGACCTTGACCTCATTTTCAAGGTTCATTGCTCAGTGTTAAGTTTTTGTGTTTTCGTCTGTTTTTCTTAAACTATAAGCAATAGGTCAACTATATTTGTTGTATGGAAGAATTGTTAGCTGTACATGCCTGCCTAGCATGGTTCATCTGACCTTGACCTCATTTTCATGGTTCATTGGTCAATGTTTAGTTTACTTGGTTAATGTTAAGTTTATGTGAGAGTTGTAATAAAGCTTTATATTTAGGACTATCAACATAATATCAATGATTAGTAAAGAAGGCGAGACATTTCAGCGTGTGCACTCTTGTTTATATTTGTAGTAAAATGTTTTTTACCATACAATACGTTTTTAGTTGTACGTTTGGTATTGTCACAAATACAAACTCGATAAGGGGAGATCTAGATCTAGACATTCAAGAAGATGGCTTGAATTTTATTCTCACATACTACCTTGCTGCACTTATTTGTATTGTTCGTTTTTCTGTAAGTAGGATGTCTACATGGTTAATAACTCACAAAAGAAGTTAATCCGCACCACATATTGATGTGCCCGACGGTAATCTGAATCTAGTACCTTGCAAGCAGTTGTCGTTTCTAAATGTTAGAGCTTGCATATGGGGCAGGCCTCTGTATGTTTTTTAAATATATACAAAACATGTCAAAACTCGCAATAATTTTGAGCTTTTATACAAGTGGTATAGACTTTTGTTTATCATTGAAGACCATATGACCCATCTCCCTTCATAAAACATGTTTGCAAACTTTTCACTTTTCGCTATACGGACTTCCTACGAGGGCAACGGTCATCATGAATGAATGACCGATACTAGATGTCTGTGTCATAACTCACTAGCGACTTTGTTTCGCATTCTTAGATCTTTAGGTAGTAGTCCGCAATTTGCTATCGCCGCTGGTCGAACGGTTATATTTTCGTAATATTTTGATGAATTTTACCATATCTTGATTTTATTCGTTATCTTCATCTTATGTTTGTTTGTCTGTCTGGTTGTTTCAGGTTGTTTTTTGACTTGCGATTGTCTCTGGATTTTCCGATTTCTCTCTCAGGTTGTGATAACATTTTTCAGCTCGTATAGAAGTACTTTTTTAAACAATGACTTTATGATTTAATATGTATACAGATTTTCAATTTATAAAAAAAAAACTTCCAAGCACATAATGTTTTATGCGATTCTTTTCCTCTAGCTGATTTGAGTAATTACTGGACATATGATGGGTCACTTACAACACCTCCATTCTATGAGAGTGTACAGTGGATTGTGTTCGCCGACATGATAGAAATGTCTCCGGAGCAGGTAATTTCATAATAATCGATGATTCTGTACCATAACTGACCACGTGACCAATCTCTTTTAAAACATACGGTGTAAGTGAACAATTTGTAACACGACTTCACAAGATGCATCTGACTTGTCATATCATAGTAAAGTTTGTTTCAGTGTTAAATATAGCGCGTTCGTTAAGAACCTTCACAACAATTTTTTCATGGGTCCGTGGGTGGCATGTTGCAAGGCAAAATTTGTCCCTATCCACTATACCCTCATTTTCCAGTGGCACTCCACATTTCCCCGACCTTATTCCCGGACGGTATCTATTAAGGATCTACCTAAAGTATTGTATTTATTGTTAATTTGTTCTCGTCCTGAACTTTCATGATATATTTGCCACTGGACGTTTAGCAACCAACAATCAATCAATCAGTCAATCAGTATAGCGCTGATAATCATTTTCCGTAAGAAGTTAGACAGGCCATTAAGTTTAACCTACATTCAAGCTCAGTTTTAAAATAGTATACAAAAGAGTATTAACAGAAATTACGAACTTCAAGGTAAATTAAAAAAAAAGAGAGGTCCATAAAACCTGACAAATGATCTACGATTATAGAACTTGATGTATGATAACATATTCTCAGACTAGCTAAATAGTAAGGTCATTGTAATCTACATTTTTCTGTTCATGTTGCATTGACGGTCAATTAATACGTTCTACGTCCGAGTTCAGTTTGGCTTTTTATGTATAATTTTACACAGTACTGCCAGATACCGGTAGTACACAAATTAAAATTACACATTGTGAAAAATCATTAATTCAAATAACGTTCTGAAATTTGTTTATTTTAAAATATTAAATTGCGTGGAAATTTATATATATTACACGATATTCACATTTAAAAATTGTTTTGCGTAACAAACGACAATGTCATGCAGAACTAGACAAAACAAAATTTTCAAACAACACTTTACTGATAAAAAAAAGTTTTTCCTTTTTCCCGCATTGGATAAAAAAAGAACCAAGACAGTCACTAGTATATTAAAATGCTTACGAAATTCTCATACCCATCACATATTCAACTAATGTTATGAGTGAAAATTGCTAATATTTGAAAATATCATTACCAATGTGTTTTTCTGTTGTAGCTTAATCTACTACGATGTATGAGGAGTTGCTCGTGTGAAGGAAAATATATAATAGACAATTACCGCTGTCCACTTCCTCTTGGGGAGAGGAAGCTGAGATCATCATTCAGAATGCTGTCTACATATTTATGAAAAAAGTGCTATTTGTAATTACATCATAACGTTTAACGTTTCATACCTACCTGTATATAATGTTTCCTTTATATTGGATTCTGCAATTTTCTGAATGGTTGTTCATTATTTTTTAATTGTTTTATTGGACAATGTGATTTTCAGTCAAATTTCAGCAATAAATGTTTTTAATATACAATATTTATGCGTACGAAGCACTCTAATTATATGTAAAATAACAAAATCTGCAGTAAAAATGAGATCATAAACAGATCTAGCGTATCTTGAATGGTATGTTAAAATGCATTTTAATGTCAAAGACGAGCGCAGCTACACTGTAGTGTCATAAGTGAAAAAGGAACTGTTTACATTTCCGGAGCACATGAAACACACATATGTAACAGTTTTAAACTTTGTTACTTTAATTTTACTGGAATGTTGCAGCTGAATGCGAGGCATAAGGATGCAATTCAGGCTGATGTTATGTTAGCTCTTTGTATAAAGCGGAGCAGGATCTGCTTATCATTCCGGAGCACCTGAGATTATCCCCATTTTTTGGTGGGGTTCGGGTTGCTCAGTCTTAAGTTTTCTATGTTGTGTTTTGTGTACTAGTGTTTGTCTGTTGGTCCTTTTTTTTTTTAGCCATAGCGTTGTCAGTTTATTGTCGACTTATGAGTCTGAATGTCCCTTTGATAACGTTCGCCTCTCTTTTCCGAAGGTAAACTATCTGGATAATGCATATGTTGTATACTGTTACAGATCCGCGGTTTCGGTCTGGTGCATGTCTAATGACCTTGATATCCTTTTCAAGGTTAAACTACTTACATCCACTTGGTTTTGATTTAACGGCCCTTCAAGTAAGCTTAGGATTTCTAAATATATTGGCCGCGAGCATCACCGAAGATAGTTAATTGTCGAAATGCGCATCCAGTGAAGTAACACGTAAACCGTGAATGTTATTACATAGTTTTTAATTTCGTCTTCGACGAATGGATGCTTATCTTGTGATGGCAACGTCAAAGCCGAGTATAAACAGCTTCATATTTCATCAGGTAAAAGACCTGGATATTTCATAACTTACAGATGACGTACGTTCTGAAGTGTCCATCTTGTATAAGTCAGTTGTCCTTGACTACATTTTCGTGGTTAAGTGACTGCATTCAAAAATGTTTTTATCATGTGGAGGCAATTTTGATGGCAAACAAAATATCATTGCAAGGTATACATGTCCGTCAGACAGGGTTCACCTGAACTTGAACTCATTTCATGGATTAGAAATTACATTACGTTTCTTGGTAAGGTCCATTTTTGAGCCTCTATAATGATCACAAAAAAAAATATCTTTTTCTAAATTCTAACAGTCAGTATAACAAAGCTGACTTTGGTTGACGTAATATTAATGCATTTGTGCACATTGCCCCCCCCCCCCCCCCCCCCCCAAACATGGTTTGAAACTTTAGTTGTCTTTTTACACTTTCTGGAATAGGTACAGGATGTTCCTTATTGACAATGCCTTGTACATATAAAGTATAATACTATTATATATGTTGATTTCCTGAAAGAAGTAGGGGCATGTCAACCAAACTTTTGTCACCTTGACCTCAATTTCACCCATAAATATTGTTGTTTTAAGGTTCAAGATACAGTCCATTCCTGGATGACTATGACTCTTAATAACAGGTCGGCAATAACTGGAACCTCCCCTTTTCGGAGGTCAGTGGAAGAGTTGATCCTTACATTTCTCGAAGGCTTCATCAAAATGTCACCAATTATATTTTAGGGGACGACCATTTGATATTCTGGGGGGGGGGGGGGGGGGGGGGGCAGGAGGATTTTGAAAATAGATAACTCAGCCTTGATAATCACAAAAATAAATGGTTTGTTCTGTGGTAGTTCGAAAATAAATAACCTGACTTACAATGTATTGAAAATGAATAACTCGGCAGGTCTTTAAGCCATTTTATAAATGCTATTAGAAAGTATGAGGTGGCACCATATTCTTCATAAAATTCATCTTTTTTCAAAAAAAATTCGGGAAACACTTCCCAAATCTTTTAATAATAAAGGTATAAATATTATTTAAATATACTTAAAATGTCTGAAAATGGGTTTCATTCAACTTGAAGTATATTGGCTCAGGAACACTTACCTCACTTTTATTACAGGGCTGTAACTACATTGAGGCAAATGCCTTTATGTAGGAAATTTTAAAACCTAAAGCTTGTGTTCATACCAAATTGTTTTCACAGCGAGTGTTTGCAAGAAGCAAGTTATGTTCTCCCTTGGACGTAGCACCTGTTTTTTCGGGATCAATGTTTCTTTAAATTTGTCTTTTGTTCATTGATTGCCCTTCTGTATTCTCTTAGTGTTGCATTCCTTTTGTGATTTAGTAATTTTGTTTTCAACTTGATCATGAGTTTTATTTTATTTAAGACTTTTTAGCCAATTTTACAACTTAACTACTTTAAATTGTATCCCAGTTAAGAGCTACATCAAGTTGTAATTGAAATGTGTTATTAAAAATTACTTGACATAGTTCTATCACTGATAATCAGCCCCCTCTTAACTTAATTTGAATAAAACCCCACATAATTTACAGGTATAAAAGATTTAAATTCGGCATGCCGAAACAAAAAAAAAAACAGCAGCCACATACTTAACTATGTGAATTACATTTTTACTTTATTCTTCATATTGGTCTTTCGATGTTGTCCATAAAAACTTAAGTCTTATGCTGAATCTATACATTTTGCTTTGAGACCAAAATATTGTCAAAAAATTATTAAAACAGAACTTGCGTTTTCAGAATAAGAAAGGGTCTGGGACCGCCCAGAAAGCACGATTTTGCATCATTTGTTCTATAGTTTCTATGGGACTTCAGCGGCTTCAAAACCCTTCAATTTTTTTTGCCTCGCTCCGCTCAGCATAAATATATTTGGCAATACTTTAAAAGAGGCTAGTCACAGCCCAACTCTAATACCGTGTATGTATGCAATACATATATATGCAGTTTGGAATTCAGAAGATTCATTTCAGCAGAGGATGATGATTAATTCTGATTAAATGGTACATTAATGACTTGACTGTACATGTATTATTTATAATAATAAATGAATTTAAAAATTGTATGTTTTCAAATATTATTAATATAGTTATGAAAATAAATAATCAGTCCCTTGTTTTAATGAAAATGAAAAATCTTGTATCAACAGTGCAGAAAATAAATAATCTGTCCTCTTAGTTTACAAAAATAAATAACCGATCCAAAACAAATCCTCCTGGCCCCCCCAGAATATCAAATGGTCGTCCCCTTATGCTGTTTTGATTGGAAGCGTACATGTACGTCATATGACCTTGACCTCATTTTCGTGCTCTGTTCAAGGTAAATGTACAATATAAAAATAAGATGTGGTATAATTGCCGATGAGACAACTCTCCACCATAGACCAAATGACATAAAAGTTAACAAATATAGGTCATCGTACGGCCTTCACCAATGAGAAAAACCCATACCGCATAGTCGTCGATAAAAGGCCCCGACATAACAAATGTTAAACAATTGAAACGAGAAAAACTAAAGGTCTGAATTTTGTGTAAAGGCGTTATTAACAATAAGAGTAAAACATGACTTTGTGCAATGCCAAAATACAGGTATCGACATGTGCATATGTATATGTATATGCATATAACAATAATATAAAAATAAGGAGATGTGGTATGATTACCAATGAGACAACTATCCTCCAAAGTTCAAATGAAGTGGATGTAAGCAATTAAAGGCAACCGTACGGCCTTCAACAATGAGAAAAACCCATACCGTATGGTCGGCTATAAAAGGCCCCGACTTAAAAAATATGAAACAATTCAATTGAGAAAACTAACGGCCTAATTTATAACAAAACAATTTACGAAAAACAAATATGACAGACATGAACCAACGAAAACCATTGAACTACAGGCTCTTGACTTGGGACAGGCACAAAAAGAATGTGACAGAGTTAAACATGTTTGTGAGCGCTCAACCCTCTCCCTAACCTGAGACAGTGGTGTAACAGTACAACATAAAAACACACTATAAAAATCAGTTGAAAAAGGCTGAACTCATCAGATCGATACAAATAGAAATATATCTAACAAAAACAAAGTGTGGACGTGGACGGGTACTTATACATCCACAAAACAAAAAGACACTAAGTACAGATCTGAGAGTACTTGCAGTTACTGGCAGCTTGTTCAAAGCAAATAACAACTAATAAAAACAGTCATGTATCTTAGACTAAAATATCAATCAGTACACATCCAACATCCAATGGATTTAGTGTAAAGACGTCATTAACAGTCAGAGAAAAACATGACCTTGTGCAATGTCAAACTATAGGTATCAACAGATTGTAGTACCGTGAAAGTATATATGTGTTATATTTAGTATGGTTTTAATTTACTGATAACAAAATCCATATTTATACCAATAAAAACAATATTCAAAGATTTAATTACAGTGTTGAATAGGTAACCTTTTAAGATAATTTTATTTAAAGGATTGATAAGTTTACCCGGATCGTATCTATTATCAAATTTCCGGGCTCGGTTTACAACATCACCGTAAAATTAAGGATGAGCAATTCCGTTTGAAATAAGTTTTCTACAGGTACAGCCAAACTTGCAGACCATATATTTGTATCTATGGAAGAATTTGGTAAAGGTTTTAAGTAATTTGTGGTAACTAAATTCCTGACTTAATAATTTACTTGTAATGCATAGATTACGCTCATTGAAATCCAAAACGTCACAACAGACACGAGCATAGCGAACGAGTTTGGATATATAAACACCGTAAGACGGTGCCAAAGGAACATTACCGTCCAAAAAGGGAAAATTAACAATAGGGAAAGAAAAATCATCCCTTTTGTCGTAAATTTTTGTGTAGAGTTTCTGGTGTAATACTGAGATATCTAAATCTAGGAAAGGACAGTTATTGCTCTTATTATTGCTGTTAATATTTGATTTTTTTAAAGTAAGTTCCTTTGTTGGGATTTAATTTACTGATAGCAAAATCAATATTTATACCAATAAAAACAATATGTAAAGATCAGTACTCTGGATCCGTTGCCCACATAAAATAGTGCTATCTTCAGGCTAGACATTCACTGTGATTGCTGTTTGTTGAACCTCTAGTGGAAATTATTTTAGGCATATTCA